AGCAAAATATTATTTCTTTTCCACATGCATGTATTCATCAAAGCACTGCAAAAACTTGTACATGTTGATATTTTCTAGAGAGGTGCACCTTGTTTACTAAAGCTTCACAATGCTGATTCAAATGAATGTCTTGGTCCCTGCAGATTTTGCTGAATTTTGTTTTGTTTTGTTTGTTTGTTTTTAAGATAGTTTATGACTCTGCCTCAGATTTGCACAGGAAACGTGCACTAATTTAGACCCAGGACAAATCTTTTTAGACGTGACCTGTCACCTGTTGAGCGTGCACCACAAACACATCTGGTGTAATTGTGTCCTACATTTAACATTTAAATCCACAACTCATACTCTCCATTTTCCATGTTATTTTAGCTGTTGAAATTTGTTTGTTTTTGTTAACCTCTGTTTTTCAAAGATATATGGAAAAACAAGGTGACACCAGTAAATCTCTAAAGCAGAGGCTCTTTGGGAGAGACTGCTTTCTGTTCCTATTTCCTAAGGACATCTTAAGACCCAAATTCCACAAGCCGGCTGGTGAAGGTGTTTCAAAATCTGAGAAACTCCTCTAACAGAAAGGTATGAACAGCTTTCTTGTAGGGACATGCGTGATATTTATGACTGACCCTGCTGTTGCGCAAACTTGTCCTTTTAAATGCGAATATCAGTTAAGCTGGAGGCAGCAGCCAACACAGCGGTACTCCATGGAAAAATGAACCATCAGAGCTGAGAAACAGGTTACTGGTCTCTCGACTTGTTTTTCCTCATGTGTCTTTCAGTGCGGGACAGGGAGTTGTGAAATCATGTGAAGTCTTTGCTTTTGAGGACAGCTCATGAATCGCAGCTGATTCTGGTAAACCACAAGCTGAACCTATAAAGCGTTTAAGTCCGTGGCTGTTTTCAGACTTGCACATTTCCAACACTTGGCTACTGTTCCTTGAACCTTGGCGATGATTGGCTGACAACCAGGTGGGTGGATCAGCAGGGGGGGAAAAGTAAACATCACCCCAGGCTTTGCCACTCTGTACCTCTCTTTGGCTGCACAGTTCACTTTTGGCTCCGGTCAGACACCCGCTCACCTCGCCGCTTCTCTTCCTCAGCCATGACGATGACTGTTGCCATGGTGATGCTGTGCATGATGATGGTACATGCAAATGTGAAGCCGCAGAAAGATTTTAGCCTGCAGAAGGTAGGATGGAGGGTGTTTGGTTTTTAAGCTTTTTTCTTTTTATATATTTTTTTTAATGTCAAACCACGTTTATTCGGTTTGTTAAGAACGGGGTTTCTTTAAAAGGAGAACAGCTGTTCTTTGTTTGTTACATGACGCCACCTACTGTCTGCTGGTGGTTTTATGTGTGCGCACAGTTTGCGATGAGTTGCTACCTTACAATAAACAAGATTAATGCACAAGTAAATCTTTTGCTGGTTTGATGGACTGTGTGAGGTTAACTTTCTTTGGCATATGTGCCACAAGAAATGTGTTTGACTGGCTATGAAGTGGGATTGTCCCACACTTACTTCTTCTTAGCCATATTATGCCTGTAAGCCTTTTAACGTTTTATTCTTTATTTTAAAAGTAAAATGTTTATTTGACACAAAGTAGTGCTGATTTTATTTTCCCCGCCAGGATTTTTTTTTAAATGTAGGCTATTGTCTGTTATATAAGAGTAAAAGTTAACACTTTCCCAATATAATTATAATCATTGACATTAAGTCAAGTAAACACCGTTTTACATGAGGAAAAATGAAAGTAGCTCATCGGTTTTGATGTACATCGAACATTTGAGATAGGTAAGGATGCCCTGCTTTACACAAGTGCTTGCAACAGGGTACACATTACAGCCTATGATAAAATAAATATGTGAGCCACACCATTTCACTTCAAGATGTGCTCTTTCATTCCGATCAACACAAGCACTGTAGTTTATTTTGAGTCAATCCCACATACCCCACCTTGCTTCCTTAAATACTTAGTGCACCAATTACCCGACTAAAAATACTCCCAACACATTATTTGTGCCTTAAAATACAGAACCTCATTGTTTCAGGGAAATACTTCTTCCTCTTTATTTAAATAAAGAGCTCTGCATTTAACCATTTAACCAAATGGTTAAATGCACGTGCATTTAACCATTTGGTTTATGTCACCCAGTGCGTCTGGGACTGTGACAGACAGGTCACATGTAGCCTGTGCATGACTGCTCAGAAGTTCCAATAAACTGTGTCCTGTTTTTGTTTGTTTTGTGTGTGTTTAGTTTGCAGGAAAATGGTATCGCGTGGGGGTCGCCTATGACTCTCCGCGTTTCGTCCCATTCCGAAGAATAATTAAGGCCTCCATGGGCACCATCACGCCGCTGCCAAACGGCAATGCTAATCTCACAATGTGGGAGGCAACGTGAGTCTGTTTTTGCAGGGGTGACACATTTGATCACTGTTGACATATGTGGACACGCAGGGACATGCCGCTCAGTCTGTGTGAGAAAAGACGGTGGCAGAGCTTTTTTAAACTCTATTATGGGGCAAAGTCAGGACACTTTTTAAGATCTTTTAATTAAATTTGACTTGTTATTGTGTCCATGCCCTTTATGTGCTCCAGTAACCTTTGTAATTTACACAATATGCTCTCACAGTTATTTAAGATGGCTGTTGAGTGGCAAACTTGCATACAACAATAATACATATTGGGCTTTATTGAATTAATAACATCAAAGCTATCATATGTGTGCTAGTCAAGGAAAAGAGTTAAACAGAGAGGAGTAAGAAAGTGACACTTGTGGATAAACACTCATTTTTCTTTGCCTTTTTCAGATCCTTTGGTTGTGTAATCAAAAAGTACCAGTATGAGAGGGCGAGTGTACCTGGACAGTTCACCTACTTCAGTGCACGTGAGTCTTTTTCTAAAGACAACTGACTTTTTCTATCATAGAATAAAAACTTGACTGGTGCTCACAGCATGAGTTGACATTCAGGATCAGCAACATGTCATGAGCAAAAAAACCACCGTGATCACAAGGATGAAGCTGTGCAGTCCAGGCACATGTGACAAAGTAATGACATAAGACTGAGAACAGGAAATAAGAGCAGAATACACACCCAAATATATTTGGGGGATTTTTCTTTTTTACTTTTATTATTTTTTACAGTTACGGTTTTCATGTGACATGTAAGTATTTTATTTTTTATTGTTTATATAGCATGCTGTCTAAATAACAAAATGTATATTATTAAATGTAGTAATTTAAAATGCATAATTTTTACAGTGGTATAATTATGATTATGTTAGAATTGTATTGTAATGAACATTTAATGTAATTGAATGTAAATTGTTCAATAATGTATAAAATTTTCATTAAAATTTTGAGAATATTTTAAGTAGGTTTAAGTTTTCATGCGACACTTAAGTATTTTTTATTATTTATATAGGTCTGCTGTCTAAATAACAAAATGTACATTATTAAATTTAATAATTTAGCATTAAATCTTAATCGAATTAAGATTCATTAACATCCAGTAAGTCAATACAAAAATTAAATATCTTGTAAATTAATTTTATCTTCTACCAAATGCAATTGGGGGGTTTTTACGTTCATGTTTTTTTCTTTTTGTTTTTGTTTTTTGTTTTTAGCTTTTTGCATTTTAAGTAACCTATACATGCCTAATAGAAAAATCATATACATCCCATTTGGGTTTAGTGCAGGCAATTCTGTTTCATCCAGATTTAATGTATTGGTCTATTTATTCATTTATTTAATCTGCCTATCAATTTGCTTTTAAATGTTCAATTAGCTGGGGTGCTAAAGTCTCGCTTCTGTGTCACGATTTCTCTCAGGCCATAACATGGTGAAGGACATCACTGTGGTGGAAACAAACTACACTGACTACGCCATGGTCCTTAAGCACAAGGTTTTCAACAGAGAGTACACACAGGTGGCACTTTATGGTGAGACACGCTCACAGATGCGTCTGAACATGCAGGCCACTGCAATTCTGTCTTCTATACACCACATGTGTGTTTCTGTACTTGTCTGCAGCTCGCACTCTGAGCGTCAGGCCTGAAGTCGTACAGAAGTTTAAAACCTTTGCCTTGTCTCGCGGTTTACCAAGAGAGTCTATTCTGATTCCACCTCCAGCAGGTGAAGCAAGGGGGAACACGCCTCCATATATACACATAGTATATACACATCTGCGCGCATGTTGAAGAAAAATTGTCATAATTTTGGTCTGTATGTTTTCTGGTGAACAGAAAATTGCCCGCCATCAGGGTCTGGGCGTTAGGTAAGGCAATTTCTTTTTTTTTTTTCTTTTTTTAAAGAAAAATATATATAAAAAAGCACAGGTGGTTATTTTAAATCTGCGTGTGCGAATGATTTCTGTCCAGCTAGTATAAAATCCTTTCTGTTCCCCCTTCTAGGTTCCCTGCTGTGCCTGAGATGAGGGTGGCATCACGTGTTCTTCGTGCTGTTCCAGCTGTGTGTCTGTGTCCAGTTTCTGACAGCATTTATGTATTATAAACTATTATTAAAAAAAACTTCAGCAAACATGATGCTGACTGCAAATGGCACAAGAAGCAGATATTGCTGATTACATTTATCCTATAGATCAACCTTGATTATGAAGTGTTTTCCATTATTTTCACAGTTCACATAGTTAAAGAAACATTGACCTCCAGACTTTTATTAATCTAATTTGAGGGTGGGTTTTTTTGTCTTATTATGGTTACATGTAAAATATATTAGTATGTAATTCTGTGTTTTACTGTGATCTATATGTTCATCGCCTGACAGTTACCTCTACCAGCTATAATATTGGCGATACAGTCATCATATATCAATAAATATATTTCTGATCAGCTGCATTTTCCTTGAAATAAGAAATTTTACCTGCATATGCACAAACACTTTCTCTTGCATAAAGGTTCACACTGAAAAGACAAATGTAAATAAAAGTTGGCTGCTTCATCGACTGCCCTGAGCCATATCAGCTGTGCTCTTTCACACTGTTGACATAATTAAATAAATATTCAGCCTGGACATAATAAATAAATCTCTGAGTAGATTATCTACAGTTTCTACTGCATTTGTGGCACAAAACAAGTGGTCTAAAGGTCACTGAAAGGAAGTTTTTTCCCTCAGTGAACACCAGGTGGCACATACACACCAGTATGTGACATACAGTTTATGATGCAGATATCATGATACCATGAGAAATGAGATTAAATGAGCTGTATGTTGAAGGGACACTTCTGTCTGTGGTAACATCAAAAAGTCTCTGTAGCTGATACTAATGCTACATTTCCCCACAATCTGTTAATTACTAACGTATATTGATCAGTTGTTTGTTTTAGCTTCAAACTCTGAAGTCCAGCAATTCATTTCTGATTATTTGGACCAAAGGACACACAGTGACATGCACACACCTCTGTGCACAGACACACTGATCGTCAGAACTTTGCGCGTTAAGTTGTGTCTTTTCTTGCTTCTTTTGGTCGTGTTTTGAGAGGGGATTCACAAAAGCCACATACGCAGGGTGTCCGTTTGACCCAGAAAGGCAGCAGACAAAAGTTTCTGGGAGGTGACAGAAAGAGACAGGTTGGACAGGCAGGCTAACAAAATGCAGGGAGCGGTCAGGCCTGTGTCTGTGCTGGTAATGGGGTGGGCCCTCGTGACCTTCCAGGTATCTCCTGTGGAGCCAAAAAATCTTACCCTGACCCAGGAGAACTTTGATCTGGAGCAGGTGAGTGGATAAAATACTAAAAAATGAAATTTCTTTAGTTATTTCCCACCCCACCCAACAACAAAGTTTATCACTTCTTTTCATTCAATAATATCTGAGGTTGTTTTTATTGCTGCACCTCAATCCACATGTTTTAATGTACAGTAATTATGAGTCTTGTTGCACCACGCCTTGACTTCAGCAATCTTGGCACAAATTCCTGAGAAACATCAGCTTATCCAGAAGTCAGCTAAACATGTCACACCCCTGCTGATTCATCCACAGTACACTGGCTCCCTGTACTGCCATGAATTCACCCTAAAAACATGACTATTAACATTTGAAGTTCTTCACAGGCTCTGCCCTGCATATTTCACTGATCTCCTCCAAACTTAAACTTCCTGCAGTGTTCATCTGGGTGCCAGGTCCTTCTCTTATGCAATACCTAAACTTTACTCCCTCACATCTGCACACTCCTTGACAGAATTCAAAACTGCGCTCACGACATTTTTAAGCTGTTCTGTTTTGTTTTGACTGGTCCATTTTATAATATTAGTATCTGTTCTGTTTTATGTTATGGCGTGTTCCTCGCAGTTTATGGGAAAGTGGTATGAGGTGGCAGTGGTGTCTACCTGCCCTCATTATATGCAGCGTAAGAGGGGAAACCCTGTCATTGTTGCACTTGAGCTGAAACATGTTGCATCTGAGGAGAACTTCACCATGACAGCCACTGCTTTCAGGTCAGATTCACCCACATGCTGTTTCTCATGCAGTGGATGAGTATGCTACACTCAATATAACCTTTCATGTGTTTGTGTCTGCATATAGGAACAGCTTGTGTACGGAGACTTCAACAGATTACAGTTTGACGGACACTCCAGGGCGATTCTTCTACCACACTGCAAGTATGTTTTCTGCTTTCCTGCATATATAGTACATCCTTCCTGTGACATGTGTACAATAAAAACATTCTCATGATGCTAAAATAATACTCAGAAAACCTGATGCGTTAACACTTTATTTTCTACAGGGCTCGGGGCCGACGTTGATGCCTTTGTGGTTCATACCACCTATGATGAGTATGCTGTGATGCTTCTGCTGAGCACAGAGAAACCATCAGGAAATAAAACCACCATAGCCAAACTTTACAGTGAGTGACCACTGTTGGATCATCAGCCATTTTACCTTTGATTTATCAAGATATCTGTGTTGATTTTTTTTTAGCAGTGCATTTCTTTGTGTCCGAAATAAAACAAGGGTCAGGTACTTTAATTTATCAATCAATATTAATTATGAGTAAGCTAATAATAGACTTCATATTCCCAACACCTAATCTAGTGTACTTAAAGCAGGTAAAACTTGCAAAGCTTCTGAGGCTACTGTATAAAATCTAATTGTCTCTATATCTGACTGTAATCTTGTTCAAATCATGAGATCTCACATTTAGCCTTTTAATTTGGAACTATTTAATGTTTTTCAATATAAAATTATAAAAACATAGAAATTTGTTGTTCTCACAGAGATTTTAGGAACTTTAAATGTGCTGATTCTAACACTGCCTTTTTGTTTCCTTCCGGTATTTAACAGAGTATGAACAGTCAGTGTTATAAAACACTAAAGAAAATCTGTCCTCTTCAGGTCGGACTGTGGAAGCAGGCCCCGCTGTGCTGGATCACTTTAAAACAGTGGTCAGAGAGCATGGAATGAGAGACGATGCTGTCATCATGAATCAGGACAAAGGTGCACACTCTCCCTGAGAACTATTGATGATATGTCTTACACTCGTCATCTCCATCTTTAACATTTTTTGCCCAGTATATTCACTATCCTCTGCACATGTCCAAATCATCTTTACATGCTGTTCAACCTGAGCAAACCCTCTGATTTGTTGTAATATAGTCATCGTGCCCCCCCCCCCCCTTCAAGCAGAACAGATTTGCCTGCTGGGATAGCCATGTTTGACACCCTTACTGTTATTGATTTTTCCCTCCTGTTATTGAATATTATCTTCATGGTTGTGTTTTGCATGTTTAGTGTTTTCTATTACTAACTGCATTTTAGAAAGTCATCAACTCTAATCCTTCTGCCTTTACAGGTGAGTGTGTTCCAGGTGAAAAGATGACAGAGACACCTACTCAGGTGCATGCTTCACACTAACACACTAACATATAACACTGTAAAACCCAAGATTTATAACTATGTTAAAGTGATGAGTCTTTAATGCATTTTAATACCTTGTATGTCATTATTTCAGGTTATTGTTCCCAAAGGGTTAAATAGAAACGCGGTTCCACGTACGACACATCCCCAAGAAGAGTTCACTGTTACCATCTGACCCTATCCTTACCATCCTCCTCTGTCAGATAAATCCTCTGCATGTCCTCCTTCACTATATCCATGGATCTCCTCTTTCACTCCTGCCTGGCAGCTACACGTTCAACATCCTTTGCCAAGTATATCCACTATACTTCCTTTGCTTATATCTAAACCGTCTCAGCCTTACCACTCTAACTTTATTTCTGAACTGCTCTACCTGAGCTGTCCCTCTGTGGTACACGTTTCTAATCCTTTCTATTCTGGTCAATCCCAATAAAAACCTGAGCATCTTCAGCTCTACCACCTTGAGCTCAACCTCGAGCTGGCAGACCTCGAGGTCTTTTTGTCAGTGCCACTGTCTCCAAACCAAACATCATACCAGGTATGACTACCAGCGTTTAAACCTTCCTTTTACTCTTGCTGCTATCCATCTGTCACAAATCACCCACTCAACTTTGCCTCCACTCTCTTGTTAACTGTTGACATAAATAAAAATATGTAAATGTAAAAAAAAAATGCAATAAGGATGTTGTGTTTCTGTCAAATTTGAGCGTTTTAATAAATATATATTTGCTACAGGATCAAGTGTAAAACCTGAAGGATACGATCATCACAAGAAAACCAGTATATTTATTTAGACTGTTTTGATCGTGCCAGGCTCCCACAGTGAATACTACACGACAATGGTCTACTTTTATACATGAAATACTTTCTGTGTCAAAATTTCATTTTGATGTGTATAAGCACTTTGCAAATCTAAAGTTTATCTAAATTAATTTGGATTATCAGACTACATAAAGGAATTTCAAGTTCTTATATCATACTGCATCATAGTCCAAAATGCAAATTGTTTTTTAATGTGTGAAACAAGTTTAAATACAAAAAAAGGACTTTAACTTTTAAGGCCCTTTTAAAGCTGCACCACCTGCTATATATGGCATGGTGTGCTAATACTTTCTACAATTATTTATCATATGCATTTGGATGTGCAAGTTTAAGAGATGTGACAAATATTTATTTAAAGATAATATTTTATTGCCAATATTATTTCAAATAAAGCGACCATGCTATTTGAGAAAAAAAAAAGCACCAAACATATGGCAAGTGTAATAAAATATCTCATGTACAAATGTTTCCTGTATGTTTCACTGCCCCAAGGAATCATTTTCAAAATGGGCTCCCCAACGGGACATGGAGGGAGAGAGCTGAAACAGAATCGTGCATGCATGTGGATACCGTGTAAATTTACTCCAACATCATGGTTTCACATTATAAAGTTACAATTTAGTAACTTTATAATGTTACAATTTACACATGTCTGGAATCATACATCAGTCCAATCCAAGCCCTCAGAAATGTGATTCTGGCTAACCTACTATCCAGTCACATCTGGTCCTCTTTGCTCTCTAACCTGTCTGTGAATAATATTATAACATTTTTCAGGTTCCAGTGTGATCTTGAGCTGGGGTCCTGGTCTGTACATCCACTGGTACAAAGTGCAAGCTTGAGCTACCAATAGTTATTTAGGTATTACAAGGGTGGAGCTGTAGACGGCAGCTCACTCGCCAAGATACGTAACTTTTTGTATATGCGCCCAAAGCATTGTGGGCTCTGTAGTTCAGAAAAGATAACTTCTATAACTTATACACATTAGGCTGAACTAGTATGCTATTGTTACTCATTAGTCCCTCCAATCATGACAAGTATTGATTTGTTTGCATTGCAGTGGTCAGGTGAGATACACAAAATCTGAACTTTGCTCTTTTACTTGTTTGTTTTTTACTCAGCTGTGGGGGGGCTGGGTACATGAGGGGGGCCCGGCAAACATAGCCCATAGCAGTTCAATGCACTGTCTCCTAATCAAGAGGTGAGAGGGGGCTGTTTTGATGTTTCATACTTAGGGGACATTGTTACCAACGCGTGGACAGACAAGCTGGTGAGATGCAGAAAGCAGCGACTGTGATTACTCTGCTGGTCCTGGGATGGACCTGGAGCCTCGAGGGGCTCCCTGTACTCACAGACCCGCTTTACCCCACACAGGAAAACTTTGATTTAACCCAGGTAAGTGCTCGAGTTCTGCACTCTGGTTAATATTCTTTAACATTGTGCATATTGCATAATTCTGAGAAGTGTTAAATGCAAAAAGTTAAAAGCAGGAGATGCTGGTATGCCCTTTTCCTGTGTATTTAAATTCTAACATTTTATTTCTTTTAGTGTTTACTGAAAATTTCTTTAAGCCTTAATCTCAACCTAAAAATATGAGGATTATATGCTGAGGGCTTTTATAATGGAAACTAGAGCTGTTAGTTGCACAGTGCAAAGGTCGGGTATGAATCCATTGAGTGCACATAGATAACTATGACAGAGCAAGCCTAAGGTAATATTTATCTATTTCTCATTGCAAAACATCCTTTATGATCCAGTCAAATGACTGCTTCAAATCACTTGTATTCTCAGGACTGAGAAGGTCCAAAGTAAACGTTTCCTTTAGATGTAGAACACAAGGACCTCTCCAAACTTGTATTTTTAAAACAAACTTAAAATAGTTTAATTAAAGTTGACTTTTTGCTTTAAACCCAGCATTAAAACAACATTTAACTATATACTTTTTTAATAATCTATATTTGTAACATTTTTATTTTTACACCAGATGTTTGGTTAAGCAGTCTGTGAGTTTTATATCAATTTGTGAAAATCTTCCTTTTGTTTACCTCTCCTGACAGTATTTGGGAACATGGCATGATATTGCCATTGCATCCACATGTCCTTATATGCAACGTTATAAGTCAGGTGCAGCCATCGGAAAACTGGTACTTCAGAGAGGTGATAATGAAGGCAAACTCAAGGTGACTCGAACTTCACTGAGGTTAGTAGAAAATGTATGGGTGTGCGGACACAAACAGTAATGTACAGCAAGCATGTATTTCTGACAGCAAAACACACTGTCCACTATTGTGTTCCCTTTAAGCTGGGTGGGTTTTTACAAAAAATGTTTTTTGTTGTTTGTTTTTGCTAATGTACTCATTCTAAACATTCTAGCAGACATATTGAGGGAAACTGGATTAACCAAAATTTAAGAGAAATCTGGCAAAAAAACAAACATAATACTTAATTTTGCTGGATGAATTTTATTTGTGAAAGCTACCAAATTCTGAGAATCTGCTGTAAAAGAAGCTATCAAGCTGTAAAATACCAGTAGCAGCTGTAACATTAATGCGATCTGCTCACTGATGTATTAAACATGTTTCCTCAAATGAGTCTCTCTACACATTAACCGCTTTTAACTCCAGTATATTCTAAACCCCCCTCTTTGTGTGTGTGTGTGTGTGTGTGTGTGTGTGTGTGTGTGTGTGTGTGTGTGTGTGTGTTAAGACGAGGAACATGTATGGAGAGGATCGAGGATTATGAGCTGACCACCACACCAGGACGATTCTTCTATCATGTTGCAAGTATGTCTTTAATCTGTTTAAATAATGCTGTACGTGAGCTTTTGTACAGCGGATTTTTCGATATTATGACTCTCCCTGTACTCTCCCTCTCACAGAGTGGGGGGCAGACGTGGATGCATACGTGGTTCACACAAACTACAATGAGTACGCCATAGTAATAATGAGCAAGCAGAAGTTATCAGGCAATAAGACCACCTCAGTTAAGCTTTACAGTGAGTAAACGCTTCCTAAAAATGTAAACCAAAATGGATTCATTTGACAGTCCTTAAGTATACACTTGATTGTTGTTATAGTGACTATCAGGTGAAGTCCTGAAGTCTTAATGCCATTTTAAGGTTTTTATTTTCCAAATGATTGTGTTCTTCAGGTCGAACCATGACTGTGAGAAACACTGTCCTGGATGACTTTAAAAGACTGGTTAAAGACCAGGGAATGAGTGATGCCAATATTATCATTAAAGAGAACAAAGGTACAGCCCACACATACAGACACACACATAGACAGATTATCACACACGCTAACACTCTTCTAAAATGGAGTGATAAGTGTACAGTCTTCCTCCGAGATCAGTACTCTAGTTCTTACATTTTAAAGAAATCAGCCCAGATCTACACTCTATCTTCATGGGTTCTTTCCTTGCGTATGTTCAACCTCTTTACAAAAGACATGAAAATCCAGGCTCACACACACACACACACACACACACACACACACACACACACACACACACACACACACACACACACACACACACACACAATAAAATAAAAAACATAAACACATAAACTTGAAGAATGGAACTGTTATTCATAACATCTTAACACGACATTTTAGGCTATATATGAACAAATGACACTACTTCACTTGATCTGCAGGTGACTGTGTTCCTGGAGAGGAGGTGGCAACAGCCACAGCTCAGCCTGAGCCTCGGGTATTACAATCTATTTAACATTGAATATTTTATGCATATGCTTTAATTGTATTTCCTTTAAAATGCATGAAAGAACATCTGTTGTCCTTTGTACTCAGGAGTTTGAGTTTTATGGTAGAATTCATCATAAATGAATTACAAGGCCATCATATAATCCATGTGAGACGTTACATTATAGGAGATCATTTTATCGGTATAATGCAGATTATTTGTGGTTGAGTCATTTTTGTATCTCTGTGTGTCTGTGTTAAACAGCGTGTGAGGAGAAATGCAGTGCCTTCTTTGGCTCCAGATGTGGAGGGCTCTGGTGATGATACAGCTATGTTCAATGGCACTGGTAGGATATCAGCTTATGCTAATGATCAAGTTCTGATTCTGATGTTGTATATTTTCTTATGCATATGTATATTCCCTCGCTGTTCCCACAGAGGCCTGTAAAGCAGCACCAGACACAGGACCGTGTTTTGGGATCCACGTGCGTTACTACTACAACTCCTCTTCAATGAACTGCGAGCTCTTCAAGTATGGAGGATGTTTGGGCAATCAGAACAACTTTGAAAATGAAAGGGACTGTTTGCAGAGTTGCCGCACCGAAGGTAAGAAAAAACAAACACAACATGACATTTGCTAATGTGCATAGATGTCCGTGCAACACACGTGCAAATTCAGGTTTTGGGGGGTTTGGTCCAACATTTAATTATGGATTCAGCTGGGGTTTCCAAATGACGCGTAAACGGAAGAACACTTATTTTCTATGAGAAGCTACTGTGTTTGTTTTCAATGAGGCTCCTTATAACAGCCACAGAGAAAGGGACTGCAACTGTTTTACAAAGTGCAATTCATGTTCTACTTGAGACTCTTGTGGCACACCACGAATGAATATTACCTATATTATATTGTGTGTATCTCTTTTGTCATTTCAGCTGTGTGCCGTCTGCCTATGGATGCTCAGCCCTGCACAGGGAAGCCTCCCATCTGGGTTTTTGACTCCACCGCTGGTCTGTGTGTGGCCTACAAAAGCGGCTTCTGCCAGGCCAACGGCAACAAGTTCTACAGCAAGGCAGAGTGTGAGGAGTACTGCGGGGTGATGAAAGATGGTGCGAAAATAAAACAAGTATAACAGAGCAGAACTGTGG